GTGATGTTCAACACCACCGGGACCAACAACGAGCGATTAACACACGCTGACACAAAGTGCCACCATTCGGGTGAGATTCATCCAGGCACAAGTCCCAGAAACCCCGATTAACCGTTAGGTTTTATTACGGCCTCCAACGACAGTCTGAGTGGTGCAATTAACAACTCCCCTCCCCCACCCCCCTAAACCACTAATGCCTATTTATAATATTGCTATATATATTTAGTTATGGTCGAGTTTTGCTCACACGAAACGGGATTTGAACCCACATTCGTCTAGTAGTACAACCCCAACCGGCGATTGCCCCATCTTGGGCAGTACTTGTACCCACCATTGGGAACCCTCGTGTCAATATTTACGTTTCTGACGGCAGCTCTTCGCACATACCAGCGATGTCAACAGCTTTCTGCGTGTACACATTGAATTCTGAGGCGCCCATTACTTCCCAGGGGAAAACCGACTCCAGTGTTTGTGGCTCACCAAGTCCAAACAGTATTCCCAAGGGTAAATATAATGGTTATTTATGACCATACATTTGAGCTGTGGTGTAGGCAGGGGTTGCAACCCGTGCCGGGTGTCATCCCTGAGAGGGTTCATCGACGATCATGTCGCCCATTGGCTTGCCGGTAGACCACTTCGCCGAGGGTCGGGACAGCATTTGGGTCTCTCCTTTGATCGCATCAACACTACTGAGGTCGTTTTCAGGGCTCGTGGTGGCGTGCAGTGCTAAGCAATTGTATATGTCTCACATAACCTTGGCACATTTATAACCTAAAGCTTCTCCTTTGGGGGTGCTGTTGAAAGTAGCAAAGCAGCTACCTGAACCCGAGAAGGTGACGAAATAGCAGAAATATGTTTTTTAACAGGAAATTGGTTTTATAGACAAATGATGCGAATACACTGAACAGATAATAGGAGTAATGTAGATTTCTTGAAAGAAACTGACTCACGAAGAGAACTGATTGCCTACATCAGAAACAGGCAATCTACATTCTTTGGCCATGTGATGAGAAGGAGACAACTGGAGTACATCGTGGCAGTAGGAAAGTTGGAGGAGGGGGGGGGGGCAGAATGAGACCGAGAGAACGGATGCTGGAAAGTTGGAGGGGAGGAGAAGCAGAGTGAGGCCGAGATGATGGACAGTTTGACATCAAGATCATCTGTGTCAGAGTTGACTGAAAGTACACGAGACATAAGGTTGTGGATAGACATGACTATAAACGTCACACGGCATGGACTTTGGGAAGAAGAACGGGAAACAATGGGGTGGTGGGGGGGGGGATTTTTCACGCAGGGTACCAACCTAGCTCGCTATGCCACGTGTGAGATCCCGCAGAGCCTGGCATGAACATCAACTCCCCTGATAGGAATTGAACTCACTGATCGACAGACCATTCACCATAGATTTGCCAGTAATCCCATACAAGATATGCTTCTACGAACTCTTCGCGGCAATCAGTTGTTACATTGCTTGGAGAAAGTAACAATGGAATTAAATGAACAGACTGATAGGGCATTAGTTGGTAACAAGAGATAAAACCCCGTGCCATGAGTTGGTTGAAGTCCTGTGCTCCTCGAGGGGATAAAAGAAAAGTAGAGGTGGAGAGGGTAGTTATGTAGAGGGACATAATATAGATAGATAGATAGATAGATAGATAGATAGATAGATAGATAGATAGATAGATAGATAGATAGATAGATAGATAGATAGATAGATAGATAGATAGATAGATAGATAGATAGATAGATAGATAGATAGATAGATAGATAGGTAGATAGATAGATAGATAGATAGATAGATAGATAGATAGATAGATAAGTAAAGTCGTGTGGACACATTGGGATCACACTAAACACCTGGTTGGGTTGATCTTCTCGGGTGGCCCCGCCAAAAACCTGTTACTGTTGGAATCGATCCGAACCTGAGGCGCCGTCTCCTCTAACCCCCACCCAAGGCAGATTAACTGATAACCCCGCCACGGAGATGGCCTCGTCTATCAACTCCGTAACGGACACCGTTTGTTCAGAAGGTGATGACACTTAGTATGATTGCCCGGCCCTAGCCAAGTGTCAAACACCCAGACCGAAAACAGTGTCGGTGGTTTTCACCTTGTCGATCGCGATGACGCAACCGGGGTCAGTGGGGGCGTGACGTCAACAATTTGGGGCTGCAAGATATTTCCGTTCGAGAGAGGGGGGATTGTGTGTCATCGTCATCATGTGCCCTGTGCAGCGGCGGGGGCGCTCGTGTCTCTCCACATATCTCCATCCTTGTTGTTTTGAATTAATTCAGAATTGAGGGGGAAGTCGCCGTGGTGTAGCGGCTAGACGCCCGCCTGCGGGTCGGAAGGTCGTGGATACACCTAAAGTTGTGGAAAAGAATCCTTTACATTTTTTTTTTACAGAATCGTAGGATATTTTGTGTGTGGTTTTTTTTTTTTTTAAACACTAAGACCTAACCTGCAGTCCTTTTTGTCATTCCTTTCAAAGTCGTAGTGCCTGAGAGGCAAGGAACCAGCAGTCTGCATACAAATGAGTCAGATCTGTAAAACGGATGCACACACAACACTCAGGTTCTAGAACAGGATTGCAGTCCAGTAATGGATGAACAACTAGAACTTTCCGCCTTAGTTTACAGCTGGTGAACGCGAAGAAGAAGAAGATATTTTAAACGACGATTTACCCTTTCATTAAATAAAATTAAAAATCAAGGTACCCAGCATTGTGACGACTGAAGGTGTTTATCTGTATATTTTCAAATGGTTTACTATTTTAAACCAAAATTGTTGTTGCTGAATTGAATTCCCAACCTTGATACATAACATGGTGTCATATCCACACAGTAGATTCTGAGTTGACCATATCCAGTTGAAGGTTGTGATTTGATATCCATGTAGTATGTGACTAGTTTGGAGGTTTGGAAACCCTGGCACTGGTTCAGAAAACCGACAGCGGTAGAAGAATGAAGAGATCGAGTGAACAGACTGTTATCTTCTTCTTGTTTTTCTTATTATTATTTTTTTTATATTCTTCTTCTTCTTTTTCTTCTCCTCTTCCTTATCCTCCTCCTTATCCTCTTCTTCTCCTCTTCTTCTTCTTCTTCCTATTCTTCTTCTTCTTTGCGTTCACCTGCTGTAAACCCGGCGAATTGTTCTGATTGTACCTCTGGACTTTAGGAGTTGTTCCAGAACCTGAATGTTGCGTGCACATCTGTTTTACAGATTATTTGATTGCAAACTGTTGGTTCCTTGGCACTCTCAGGCAGATGCACTCTGACTTCGAAGGAAATCTTAAATTAGTAAACTCTTACCACATTCTTATTTTATGCATAATGGAAACGAATATTATAAAAGGGGCATTACCCAAGAATATTTGCACTACAACTGTATCAGCGGGGTTAACAACAAAGTTCAAACAAAAACTCGTGTTGTCTATCAGGGTTCTGTTCTCAGCACTCTGCTTTGGCTTTATGGCAATGAAACTTGGTCAGCTTGTTCGCAGCGGGAGTAATGGCACAATATCTTTCACATGCGATGCCTACGCAAAATACTTGACATTACGTGCGTGACAGCACAAGAACACAGCTAGTAGAAAGAGATTTTCACTAGTCTTCTCCTTGTGGGATGCAATTTTCCGGGGTTTTTTTTAAGCCCCACCCTGGCTTCTGCCGGGGGCCCTGAGCATAGCTGGGCCACACATGTGGCCATGACGGCTGAAACGGGTGTCTGGGACTTCTCCACAGGTGATCCTCATCCGCATGATGGCACTTCATGTCACCCGGTGTTTATCGCTCATGTGATGTCCTGGTAGGGTGCAACAAACAAGCAGGTATTGCAAGGTTTCTCAATGTTCAGCCTACGAAAGCTCAGGTGGCTCTGTCAAACTTGGAGACTGGAGGATGCAGAGTCCCTAAGAAAGAACATCCTCTATGATGAATGTAATTACATATGGGTAGAAGATGTTGATGCTGATCTCTACTCTGATATAAAGCAGCACATGAATGATACAGGTATTCAGGTGGACTCGTGAGACAAAAATGCCACGGACCGTGTTGTGTGGAGGGGGTACATCAGGAAGGGAATGAGAATGAAGGAAAAAATTATTGAGAAGAAACAACTAAACACAGATGTTGACAACAACGGCCCTGAAATCCCATGCTGTAATTGACTTTTTCTTTACGCGGGTGGGTCTTGCTAGTCACACTTGTCATTGCCATAGGCTGTGAGTCCCAGGTCTCCTCTTAGCTCAATATAACACTATTGTCTGGAAAGACGGAAAGGGGCCAGTCAAGAACAAAGGAGAAGCCATCATAGGAGAAATATAACATGCAAAATACAGAAATACAAGGATGCAAAAAGGCCAGTCAAGTTAAAGAAACAATGACACTAATATTGAAATTCAAGCATGTGGATGTTAATACTTAAAGATACTGTTCAATACAATAATCTTACCAGTGCTATGCTGTCAGTGTCAAACATGGGCATTGTCTTCAGATACTTCATCTTCAGTATTCCCAGCCCTTGGGGTTCATTGCAGTAAATATCACCCGCCTCCAATCATCTCTGTGGTTGGTCTTCTCTTTCCAGCTGGTGACACTAAGTGTTGCAGGTCTGTTTGGCCCAGGACATTACCTCTTCATCGCCTTCTAAGTCTCCCTCTGGGTCTACAACCATCTGTTCCCCTTGTGTATGCAGTTTTTACCTCTCAGTCATTTGAAATTCTCTCAGTATGCCCCAGCTATTTCAGTCTGTTAGATGTCATAATACCAGTGACGTCATTGCTGTAGTTGAGAATATTATGGTGACCATATTCATGTAGTTGAGTACATTGTTTTGACAATATCTATATGTTTACATCATTGTAACCAGACAAGTATATTTTTGCTGTTGATATTTCCAGGCAGTGGCTATTTCGTAGTGACCCCAGACACTAGCCGACTACACACTAGTGTCAACTCCAGCTTCCTACCCACCAACGCCTCCTGGCTGCCCTACCACCCCATGTACATACCAGTCTTTCAGGGGGAGCTGCCCCTTCTACCGTCTAGGGCACACATGAGGTCTATATCATGCCAGGTAAGTACCGTGCCTCCTAATATTTAGATCGGAAGCAGGTGCTATATTTTGTTTAAAGTTTTATGAATTCTTGGGGGATGTTTAAAGATAAACTTATGAGGGAGCCCTCCTTAGCACAAGTCAAAACAGTAAACTAATTAGAGAACTTGGGCGCAGACCATTCAGGTTTTTCAGGACTCGACTCAAGAGCACGGTGACGACCTGCAAAATTGGTAGGAAAAGGCAAAGAGATAAATACTTGAATGGGTTGTCCAAATGGATGAAGCAGGACAAGAACACTGACCTGATGCATGATTCTAGTGATCGTATACGTTAGCAGAACATGACAGTCTACACTTATGGGCATGGTATATCATGATGATGAGGTTTTTGAACAATAGATCAACATCATGGCACACGGGTAGTAACCCATACGTGCTCCGTTCTTCTTCTAACTAAAGTCTGAGTCTGGAGAAGCTCAGCACAGTGCACAGGCTCTGTAGCAGCGACAAGGATCCTGAAATACTTAGGGTAGATATTAAACTCCAAATTGTTACCAGGGCAGTGCTATCAAGCTACTCTTTTGGATATGCAACTGCCTAGGGATTTTTTTATGTGCGCAGCAATGCACACTGGCATCTGATCTCACTACCCAGAGACCAGGGGGAATTACTAGAAGTCCAAGTCGACGTGAAAAAATTCCAGCTCTTACCAGGGATTGAACCCGGAACCTCTAGCACTCAGGGCAGACACCATGCCTCTAGACCACGCAGATGATGATTTATGGGTTGGTGTATTAACAGCAAGAGGGACATTGCTTAAACAAATGTACACAAGGTTGAGGACATGGCAACCAATGCCACACAGCCTGGGCTTTAACAACCAGTGTTCATTTATGAATTCATAGGTTAGTGGTGGGGAAGCCAAAACTGCAGCACTTATCTATACTTTATTGTTTTATATGTTATCTTTCCATTTGTATTCAGTATCCCTAAATTTCCCTTTTTTTTAAAACTTTATTTCACTTGTTAGGGCAAATATTTGATTTGGAAACTCAGAAAATGAACCCTTTTATTCCATCAATAATGGAGGAGTGGCTAGTTAAATGAATAAGAATGCTGGTTATATGAGAGACCCGAGTTTGAATCCATGGTAGGTTTGGGGATTTTCTTCTCTCTGCCAGTTGCAAAAATAAAAGTAGAAACACCAAGAGGTATGGGATGACTACTAAGAGAGGATGGAGGTCAGTGATACCTTGAGACTCCACAACATACTGGACAACCGAGAATTCTCTAGCTCAGATACCGATCATCTGTTAATCTGCAACGCTTAGGGGCACACAGTAGAATATTGTGCCCAATGTACCAGATGGCGGTTACCATTTCCACAATTAGGCAGGGGTCCCTCACAACTCAGCAGTTGGAGAATCAGTTCCTTGCAAACTGCTGGAATACATTGGTGGCAAAGAAAGTGATGTCACTCTTAGAAAGACCAGACACCAGACATCATGGGCAGCTATATGCCATCACAGGCCACATGGGACAATGCTGGTACGTTCGCAATCTAATGTGTATGATAAAAGTGGCTTGACCACGTAACAAGATTGGCATCAAACAGGGCACCATAGTGAGCAGTGTTATATGTTACAACAGATCCAGAGGTCAACCAAGCAGAATATAGACCGCAAAATTATCGCACTGACAAGTACTTTGTGCGAAGCGAACAGAAGAGCCCGTTTCAGAGATCTCTTCTCTGACACCGCAAGGAGTTCCAGGAGTAAAGGAAAGAAGCAGAAGAGGAACAAGCAAAATTGGCTTCTGCAGTCCATGTTTGTATTTCTGTTCAGGTTATCATGCTTTCTCGTCCTCAGGTTACAACAATTGAAGAAACATCAGAGGATGAGGACAGGGATGGAAAGACAGACAAAGAAATTCCAGGAAAGGCATATGCTACTCAGAAGACATCACAATCATCAGGCAGTGATTATACCTGTCGGAGAGAGGATCCCAAGGTGGTCAAGATTGAGAATGATGAACAGAAATTGGTCAAGAGTGAGAAAGAGAGTCAGAAAATGGTCAAGGATGAGAAAGAGGAAGCTAAAGCTGAGCTAGATGACGGGGTGTTTAAAAAACCCTTGACGACTAAAGAGAAGATCAAAGTGGCGAAAGAGGCAAAGTCTGGTGGCAGTCAGCCTGACAGAGACAAAGGTAAGTCATCGTACAAATAATATATATTTCTATTACTGTATTCTCTTCTCTAACCATGTTTAGTTTGTATGATCATTCTTCCTATAATAATTTTTTTTAATTTAATTCTTTTATGTGACTGTTCTATTCTATCTATAACTATATCTTCTTCTTCTTCTTCTTCTTCTTCTTCTTCTTCTTCTTCTTCTTCTTTCTTCTTCTTCTTCTGCCTTTTGTCCCCCCCCCCCCCCATGGAGCATAGGCCCTCAACCTACTCATTCCAAGTCATCCTGTCCTTTGCAATGCAGCTGACACCCATTTCCTCCCCATTTTTTTAACTTCACTCTTCAGCTCACCTCTATATTTTGGGGTCTACCTTTATTTCTATGCCCATGTTTGTTTCAGAGCTAAGACATTCTAGTTATAATGTTCTCAAGGTTTTCTCAGCATGTGTCCTATCCAACGGCAGCGTCTTGTATTTTATTAGTACATTGTCTTAGTTCTCCATGTTTCTGCTCCATACAACAGTACTGATTTGACATTAGTGTAATATTAGTTTTCATTTTGGTTAACCTCCGCAAATTTTATAGTGCTATGCAACTTCCTCTTGCCTTTTATTTTTGTATTTTAATATCTCTGTCAGACTCCCCCCCCCCCTCTTCCCTTCCCCCATCTTTATTGACACTACTGCCCAAATAGGTGAACGATGTCAGTTCCCCCCATCTTTATTGACACTACTGCCCAAATAGGTGAACGATGTCAGTTCCCCCCATCTTTATTGACACTACTGCCCAAATAGGTGAACGATGTCAGTTCCCCCCATCTTTATTGACACTACTGCCCAAATAGGTGAACGATGTCAGTTCCCCCCATCTTTATTGACACTACTGCCCAAATAGGTGAACGATGTCAGTTCCCCCCATCTTTATTGACACTACTGCCCAAATAGGTGAACGATGTCAGTTCCCCCCATCTTTTATTGACACTACTGCCCAAATAGGTGAACGATGTCAGTTCCCCCCATCTTTATTGACACTAGTGCCCAAATAGGTGAACGATGTCAGTTCCCCCCATCTTTATTGACACTACTGCCCAAATAGGTGAACGATGTCAGTTCCCCCCATCTTTATTGACACTACTGCCCAAATAGGTGAACGATGTCAGTTTCCCCCCATCTTTATTGACACTAGTGCCCAAATAGGGGAACGATGTCAGTTCCCCCCATCTTTATTGACACTACTGCCCAAATAGGGGAACGATGTCAGTTCCCCCCATCTTTATTGACACTAGTGCCCAAATAGGTGAACGATGTCAGTTCCCCCCATCTTTATTGACACTAGTGCCCAAATAGGGGAACGATGTCAGTTCCCCCCATCTTTATTGACACTACTGCCCAAATAGGGGAACGATGTCAGTTCCCCCCATCTTTATTGACACTAGTGCCCAAATAGGTGAACGATGTCAGTTCCCCCCATCTTTATTGACACTACTGCCCAAATAGGTGAACGATGTCAGTTCCCCCCATCTTTATTGACACTACTGCCCAAATAGGTGAACGATGTCAGTTCCCCCCATCTTTATTGACACTACTGCCCAAATAGGTGAACGATGTCAGTTCCCCCCATCTTTATTGACACTACTGCCCAAATAGGTGAACGATGTCAGTTCCCCCCATCTTTATTGACACTACTGCCCAAATAGGTGAACGATGTCAGTTCCCCCCATCTTTATTGACACTAGTGCCCAAATAGGTGAACGATGTCAGTTCCCCCCATCTTTATTGACACTACTGCCCAAATAGGTGAACGATGTCAGTTCCCCCCATCTTTATTGACACTACTGCCCAAATAGGTGAACGATGTCAGTTCCCCCCATCTTTATTGACACTACTGCCCAAATAGGTGAACGATGTCAGTTTCCCCCATCTTTATTGACACTACTGCCCAAATAGGTGAACGATGTCAGTTCCCCCCATCTTTATTGACACTACTGCCCAAAATAGGTGAACGATGTCAGTTCCCCCCATCTTTATTGACACTACTGCCCAAATAGGGGAACGATGTCAGTTCCCCCCATCTTTATTGACACTAGTGCCCAAATAGGTGAACGATGTCAGTTCCCCCCATCTTTATTGACACTACTGCCCAAATAGGTGAACGATGTCAGTTCCCCCCATCTTTATTGACACTACTGCCCAAATAGGTGAACGATGTCAGTTCCCCCCATCTTTATTGACACTACTGCCCAAATAGGTGAACGATGTCAGTTCCCTCCATCTTTATTGACACTACTGCCCAAATAGGTGAACGATGTCAGTTCCCCCCATCTTTATTGACACTACTGCCCAAATAGGTGAACGATGTCAGTTCCCCCCATCTTTATTGACACTAGTGCCCAAATAGGTGAACGATGTCAGTTCCCCCCATCTTTATTGACACTACTGCCCAAATAGGTGAACGATGTCAGTTCCCCCCATCTTTATTGACACTACTGCCCAAATAGGTGAACGATGTCAGTTCCCCCCATCTTTATTGACACTAGTGCCCAAATAGGGGAACGATGTCAGTTCCCCCCATCTTTATTGACACTACTGCCCAAATAGGGGAACGATGTCAGTTCCCCCCCATCTTTATTGACACTAGTGCCCAAATAGGTGAACGATGTCAGTTCCCCCCATCTTTATTGACACTAGTGCCCAAATAGGGGAACGATGTCAGTTCCCCCCATCTTTATTGACACTACTGCCCAAATAGGGGAACGATGTCAGTTCCCCCCATCTTTATTGACACTAGTGCCCAAATAGGTGAACGATGTCAGTTTCCCCCATCTTTATTGACACTACTGCCCAAATAGGTGAACGATGTCAGTTCCCCCCATCTTTATTGACACTACTGCCCAAATAGGTGAACGATGTCAGTTCCCCCCATCTTTATTGACACTACTGCCCAAATAGGTGAACGATGTCAGTTCCCCCCATCTTTATTGACACTACTGCCCAAATAGGTGAACGATGTCAGTTCCCCCCATCTTTATTGACACTACTGCCCAAATAGGTGAACGATGTCAGTTCCCCCCATCTTTATTGACACTAGTGCCCAAATAGGTGAACGATGTCAGTTCCCCCCATCTTTATTGACACTACTGCCCAAATAGGTGAACGATGTCAGTTCCCCCCATCTTTATTGACACTACTGCCCAAATAGGTGAACGATGTCAGTTCCCCCCATCTTTATTGACACTACTGCCCAAATAGGTGAACGATGTCAGTTCCCCCCATCTTTATTGACACTACTGCCCAAATAGGTGAACGATGTCAGTTCCCCCCATCTTTATTGACACTACTGCCCAAATAGGTGAACGATGTCAGTTCCCCCCATCTTTATTGACACTACTGCCCAAATAGGTGAACGATGTCAGTTCCCCCCATCTTTATTGACACTACTGCCCAAATAGGTGAACGATGTCAGTTCCCCCCATCTTTATTGACACTACTGCCCAAATAGGGGAACGATGTCAGTTCCCCCCATCTTTATTGACACTACTGCCCAAATAGGTGAACGATGTCAGTTCCCCCCATCTTTATTGACACTACTGCCCAAATAGGTGAACGATGTCAGTTCCCCCCATCTTTATTGACACTACTGCCCAAATAGGTGAACGATGTCAGTTCCCCCCATCTTTATTGACACTACTGCCCAAATAGGTGAACGATGTCAGTTCCCCCCATCTTTATTGACACTACTGCCCAAATAGGTGAACGATGTCAGTTCCCCCCATCTTTATTGACACTACTGCCCAAATAGGTGAACGATGTCAGTTCCCCCCATCTTTATTGACACTACTGCCCAAATAGGTGAACGATGTCAGTTCCCCCCATCTTTATTGACACTACTGCCCAAATAGGTGAACGATGTCAGTTCCCCCCATCTTTATTGACACTACTGCCCAAATAGGTGAACGACTCCACGTCTTGGAGTAGAATACTTCTAAGAGAAGCCACATTACTGATTTATTCTCATTATCTGTTTTCTCTTGTGGATTTTCAGACGTAGCTGCTGTGATCTCTCATAAACAATATTTAATTTATCTTGCATCTGATTCCACAAGTTTGAGAGAAGAGAAATGTTATCCGCAGAGTCCAGGTCATCATAGTCTTTTGTAGGGGTCCACTGAATTCCATTCTTGGTGTTGGCAGTTGCTGTTTTCATAATCCAGTCAATTGTCAGTAGAAATAAGAGTCGACAAAAGACATCCCTGTCACACACCTGTTTTCATTTCAAATGTACCCCCTTTTTGGGTTCCAGGGCCCTTTTAGAGGGAAAACAAGAACAGACCCACTGCCTACCCAAAAGCATGTCGTAAGAGTCGACTAATTAGGAGCTTCCTTTGAAGTCTGATTGCATCTGCTTGAAAGGCAAGGAACCAGCAGTCTGCATACAAATGAGTCAGGTCTGTCAAACGGACGCAACACTTAGGTTCTGGAACAGGGCTGCAGTCCTAAAGTGGACGGGCAACCAGAACCAAAACGCCAGAGTTTACAGCTGGTGAACACAAAGAAGATTTCAAATGTGTTATATTAACAACGCTATGGTTACAAAGTAACTTGCAGTCTAATATGGGTCTGGGATATGTAGGTTACTGACAGGAGGGGGGTGTGAAAGATGGCTGATGTTTTTCATTTCTTCCTTTATGTGCTTTTGTGCACCTGCTGCTGTCGCAGGGAATACTGTTTCTTATTTATCATAGTGTTCCCCCGGCTGTAAGCTGTGTCAGAAAGTTCGGGTTCTTTGTTCACGTTTGGATCTTGACCTTACTAAAGAGCGGCGAGTGTGCATACAGATTTGGCTTATCTGTTTGCAGACTGTTGGTTCCTCAACTGTCAGGCAGATGCACACCAACTTCAAAGGAAATTTAATTAGTAGCCTTCTGGGACATGCTTGTTTGGAGGGGGTGGCGGGGGCCGTGGGCCTGTTCCACACAGGGAAGATGATTTGTTGATGAGACCCCAATGTTTTCCACCGGTGAGGCTTGTATACAGTTGTCCAAAAGCCATGAGAATAGTCTTTCTAAATTACACCTCATGGAAACCCTGCCTGGTATGTCAAGAATTGTGAAACACTTTCACTAACCTCTAAACCAGTCTTCTTCAGGACGTGGAGAATATCCAGCTGGCCCCAACAAATGTCTGTTGAATCATGTCGCAATGTAGGGCAGAAGGTTTTTCACTTCCAGTCTGTATGATTAACATCTCATGGACTACCTGTTTGTGTCAAATGACTTTCTAAGACATGACAGTAAAAAAAAAAAACCATACAGTGAAATTGAGTGGATGTTATTGCAGTGCTTTTTATATAAGAAACAACGCTCTAGCCACATATATTAGATTGTGTAACCTCTAAGCAGTAGCTAATGTTGCATTAGCTGAAAATTGTAATGTTATGATATCGGATTTAACAAATATACTGTTATCTATCTACATTTGTTTTTGTTTCATGTTTGGTTAGCTGTCAGGTAGGCCATGAGACTTTGTTTTAATGGGCCACGAGTGTCAAAAGAATGAGGAACACTGCTCTCAGCTATACAGCTACCCAGAGTGAAGTGGAAACTAATTGTTTATGTGTGGGGGGGGGGGGGGTGCTACATAATGTTAAGGCAAGGCATCCGCTTTGAGCGCTGACGGTCCCGAGTTCAACCCCAGTGAAGGCTGGGTTTTTGCACATTGACTTCCCTGTCTGGACTTCCAAGTAATTCCCTCTGGTCTCTGGGTTTTAAGATTGGACGCCCGTGTGTATTGTTATGCAGGTTTTAAAAAAAATCCCTTGGCAGTTTGAAATTGAACAAGAGTAGCCTAACAGCGCTGCCCAGGAACAATTTGGAGTTAAAAATCTACCCAAAATATTTCAGAATCCTCGCTGGTGCTACAGCGCCTGTGCACTGTGCTGAGCTTCTTTGTGACTCAGACTTGAGTTAGAAGAATAACTGCGCACCTAGCTTTGTCTCGTGATGTTGATCAATCATATAAACCTAAACATAAATTGTTTTTTAATTGGCCTTTAATGTAAAATGTGGTTTCTGAGACAATTTCTGATAATTTTTACTTTTTTTTTTTTTCAGTGGAGAAAACATCCTTGTTTTCCAAGTTGTTCAGCCGCAAGAAGAAAGACAAGGACAAAGACAAAGATAGAGTTCTGATGCCACCTCCGCCTCTACTTCCTCCTCCTCCCTCCTGCTCCTGTTCCACCAGTGGCTTCGTCATGCTCTGTTGTCACATCAAATTCCGGTTCGGATACCATGAGTGAAGGAAGAGGAGAGAAAGAATATGCAACATTTTCAGCGCAGTTTCCTCCTCCGGAGTGGGTGTGGTACCAGCAGCAGATGGAGAAGCATAAGAGGACGGAGAGCTGGGTTTCCCAACAGAGCAGCAACATTGCAGTTCAGTTGCCCTCTTCCTCGGCAAGACCTCCAGTGAAGAAGAAATCCTATCAATATAAAGAGCATCTGAGGCACGTCTCCAGAAAGCCTTCAATGCTTCAGAGTCAAGAACATGCAGCCTACATGCCAATGAGCGCAGTCAGCAGTCTAGAGGGCAAGTTTGTTGACTCTGAAGTCAAGCATGATGATGATGGATTTGTGAGACCCTGGCCAGTTAGGTCAGAAAATATCTATGAGAGCTTCAGCGCAACATCCAGCATCAAGCGGCACCATCATAAACCCGGGGACAACCACGGCAAGTGTTGCCAAAGAACTTCAGAGTACGGCGGGGCTGTTTCCGGAGACACTACCCTATTGAACAGCTCTAATGTGTATCAGTCTGTTAGAACTTTGTCCCCTGTAGCTCGGGTTAGTGAGGCAGGCAGTTATGCCAAACTCATTGAGCCTCAGTTAGGACCCCTTCATTCGACTCCTTTTAGTGGCAAGCAGAAAGATCGAACTGCAAATGGAGCAGACGGCCATGAGGTAAGAGATCGAATATACGGCCCCCCAGAAGCATATCATAAAAGGAGGTCTCGTCGATCCCAACATCGGCAACAGAGACTGCACAGTTTTTATAGTGGTCATGGAAGTGATATAAGTTATGAGTACAAGGGGCGTCTTCCAAAGAGGAACTCATCTCAAGCTCAGTCAAGAGACAGCGGGGTGAACTGTGTTGGACTGGGCACTGCAGCAAGAGCGGAACCAATGTATGAAAACACCCTGGCTAAGCAGCAACGGTATGGCGGTCAGCAGCAGCAGTACAGCCATGAGCAACAATACAAAAACTATAAACACCTAGCAGATAACCAAACACAGTTTGAAATCACAAATGCTACTGAAAACACAGACTTAAATACAGAGAGCATCATTGACTCCACTACAAACTCAGTAGTTTGTCAGGGTAGAGCCACTAATGAGGCTTACAACTCTGTAGTATACCAGGACAGCCTCACAAATGAGGCTTACAACTCAGTAGTGTATGGCAGTATGGGTGATGTCAATGGAGCACCATCTGTCGTTTGCCACACAATTGCCAGCTCATGCCAGGACACCTCAGAGATGGCTTTGCCTTATAACTCGTTGCAGAGTACCTTCTATGATGAAAGCAAGCTGGCTTCTGTTGCTCATCCTAAAGCATCCAGGCATTTTCCTGGATCTCAAGGCAGCCCGGACACCCTCATTGTGGATGTGGTTGGCACAGCAACTGAATCTGAAGGAGATGATTCTGACTCTTCTGATGACTTGTTACAATATGCAGGTCCGAATGACATCAGGGAAGTTTGCACTCCCGTAAACTGTAACCCTGCGGCTGTGAGAACCATGTCCAGGCAGCAGAACCTGGATGAGGCAGTCGACAATGAAGCATATGATGAGAATGGTGATGAAGTAGATGGTGGTGACAAGTGTGCTTGTTGCAAACAAATAACAAAAGGGCAAGACATTGAGAAGCCTGATAGTGCTGACCATAAAAACGCTGATGATAAAACTGGTTCTCAGCCTAGTGCAGTGCCACAATTACGTGAAAGAACTGATCGCCTTGATAGTGGATTTAGCTCACCAAGAAATCCGGAGAAATCCGCAGACACGGTTGAGCACTCAGATCAGTCGAACTCTAGCAAGCCGCAAGGTAGTGGAGCTAACAGGCAAGGGGGGAGTAATTTCCCACAGTTGAAACACCAGCTCTCTCACGACAGTTCCAACACCCACCAGTCCTCCAACGTCGGCAGCAGCGGGCATCACAGCAACAGCGATGCCTGCCTGGCTACAGGCAGCGATCACCAGAGTGGTTCCGTCAGTGACAACGGCAACAGCAGCAGCGGAGCTCACTCAGGGCACCGAGACTGTGAACAGGTCCCACCAGACATGTCTCGGATGAAACACGGCTGTTCATTAAATTCATTAAAGTCCGACTGCTTGAATGGACGTGCGCAGTATAATCATCACCAAAAGCTTCGCCAGGACTTTGCCCACCACAGCCGCCCTGCATCAAAGCATGCCCATCATTACGACGCCTACGACCACCTGGTGAGATCCAAGTATAAAGAACACAGCCAGCAAAGGATTCCCCTGCACCCAAATGCCATGCTTGTTGAACACAGACCCCATCACAGAAGCAGACCCAAGCAAGAGAGGTCACGTTCAGTGGATTTATTACAATCAGATTCCCATAATGACTTGCATAAATTCGGCAGGAAATATCACTCAAAGAAATATGGATTAATGGATGAGTTCGAAGTTATGGGAGTATTGTAAATGTATTCAACTCATATTTATATCATATCACTCCAGACAATGTAGGTTGGTGAATTAATTTAACATGGTGAAATGGTAATACCGTCCATATGTCTCACTCCAGACAATACAAAGTAGTGGGTGAGACTGGTGTTTTAGTAATGTTGTATTTATACGTCTAATTTTCCTCACTCCAGAGCATACAGATTAAAGGATACGTTTATTGCTGTAGTCATGTGTATTATTACATCCAATATTTTTCTCACTCCAGAGCATACAGATTAATGGATACATTTATTGCTGTATTAATGTGTATGAGTACATCCACTATTTTTCTCACTCCAGAACACACAGATTAATGTATACGTTTATTGCTGTATTAATGTGTATGAGTACATCCACTATTTTTCTCACTCCAGAGCATACAGATTAATGGATACGTTTATTGCTGTAGTCATGTGTATTATTACATCCAATATTTTTCTCACTCCAGAGCATACAAATTAAAGGATACGTTTATTGCTGTAGTCATGTGTATTATTACATCCAATATTTTTTTCACTCCAGAGCATACAGATTAATGGATACGTTTATTGCTGTAGTCATGTGTATTATTACATCCAATATTTTTCTCACTCCAGAACACACAGATTAATGGATAAGAATGATGCTATAGTCGTGTTGTATGTATAGGTATAATATTTACCTCACCCAGAACGTATAGATTAATGGATAGATTTAAAAGCGTTATGTTTGCAGATTTTTATTGCTGATGAAGCAATCATTTTTGGGATTGTGAAATTACAGGAGTATTGTAGATTTATTAGTTTGAGATTTATAGATTGTAAAGTGCGTTTTAAGTATTTATGAGTTGTCCTCCATTGTATTTTCACTGATTGTCATTTGTTGCTAACTATGAACAAAGTTCTGTTTTCACCTGCTGCCATTTGTTAGAATGAACGAGATAATGTTTTCACTGATTGTCAGTTACTACCACAGACTTGTTTGAACATTTTAATTTTACGTCCACAGTGTTCTCTTGTTACCCAAAAGGCCTTGTTTTTGTACCTCCGCTCTGTTCTCTCGCTCCCTGCGGGTCTTGTTTTTGTACCTCCCCACTGTTTACTTACTCCCTAGGGGCCTTGTTTTTGTACCTCCCCACTGTTCACTCACTCCCTGAGGGCCCTGTTTTTGTACCTCCCCACTGTTCACTCTCTCCCTGAGGGCCCTGTTTTTGTACCTCCCCACTGTTCACTCTCTCTCTGAGGGCCCTGTTTTTGTACCTCTCCACTGTTCACTCACTCCCTAGGGGCCCTGTTTTTGTACCTCCTCACTGTTCACTCTCTCCCTGAGGGCCCTGTTTTTGTACCTTCCTACTGTTCACTCTTTCCCTGAGAGCCCTGTTTTTGTACCTTCTCACTGTTCACTCACTCCCTAGGGCCCTGTTTTTGTACCTCCCCACTGTTCACTCACTCCCTGAAGGCCTTGTTTTTGTACCTCCCCACTGTTCACTCACTCCCCGAGGGCCCTGTTTTTGTACCTCTCCACTGTTCACTTACTCCCTGAGGGCCCTGTTTTTGTACCTTCCTACTGTTCACTCTCTCCCTGAGGGCCCTGTTTTTGTACCTCCTCACTGTTCACTCTCTCCCTGAGGGCCCTGTTTTTGTACCTCCTCACTGTTCACTCTCTCCCTGAGGGCCCTGTTTTTGTACCTCCCTACTGTTCACTCACTCCCTGAGGGCCCTGTTTTTGTACTTCCCCACTGTTCACTCACTCCCTGAGGGCCCTGTTTTTGTACCTCCCCACTGTTCACTCACTCCCTGAGGGCCCTGTTTTTGTACCTCCCCACTGTTCACTCTCTCCCTGAGGGCCCTGTTTTTGTACCTCCTCACTGTTCACTCCCTCCCTGAGGGCCCTGTTTTTGTACCTCCCTACTGTTCACTCACTCCCTGAGGGCCCTGTTTTTGTACCTCCCCAATGTTCACTCACTCCCTGAGGGCCCTGTTTTTGTACGTCCCTACTGTTCACTCACTCCCTGAGGGCCCTGTTTTTGTACCTCCCCACTGTTCACTCACTCCCTGAGGGCCCTGTTTTTGTACCTCCCCACTGTTCACTCACTCCCTGAGGGCCTTGTTTTTGTACCTCCCCACTGTTCACTCACTCCCTGAGGGCCCTGTTTTTGTACCTCTCCACTGTTCACTTACTCCCTGAGGGCCCTGTTTTTGTACCTCTCCACTGTTCACTCTCTCCCTGAGGGCCCTGTTTTTGTACCTCCTCACTGTTCACTCTCTCCCTGAGGGCCCTGTTTTTGTATCTCCTCACTGTTCACTCTCTCCCTGAGGGCCCTGTTTTTGTACCTCCCTACTGTTCACTCACTCCCTGAGGGCCTTGTTTTTGTACCTCCCCACTGTTCACTCACTCCCTGAGGGCCCTGTTTTTGTACCTCTCCACTGTTCACTTACTCCCTGAGGGCCCTGTTTTTGTACCTCCCTACTGTTCACTCTCTCCCTGAGGGTCCTGTTTTTGTACCTTCTCACTGTTCACTCACTCCCTAGGGCCCTGTTTTTGTACCTCCCCACTATTCACTCACTCCCTGAGGGCCTTGTTTTTGTACCTCCCCACTGCTCCCTCACTCCCCAGGGTTCTTGTCGACATCTAACCAGTCATGCATCAGTTTAGTTCAAATAAACAAGTCCCCTTCTACAGTTGAGAGTTGTACAATATTTTCTTACTTATATGCCATGGCTTTCGTCTTGTTTAGTTCTCATTCACTGTTGAAGTCAAAGAGTTGAGTTAATTATCTGAAAACAAAATTGCTGCTGTAAATAGTTAACAAGGAAGAATATATTTCAAAGCAACAAAACAAGAAAGTTAACACCAGGAATGTTGGCATTGTATTTCTTTTTTTACAAGTTATCTCTTTTGAGAGTTGATGTAATCCTAGATAATAATCTGCTTGGGTATCGGTTTCCTTCCTCATTTTATCCCAGTCAGCTGAATCTAAACGCTGTGTGGTCCACTCCCATTCAACTCTTTTGTGTAGGCAGTGTTTGTCTCTCTGTTTTCTGCTCTTCTCTCTCACAAGCTGTATCTACTACAGTTACTTATTCTCCGAAGCAGCCACAACAGTAGGCTGGTGTAGCAGCTATGGGCGCCCTACTTTTAACTTGCGGGGACTAGACAGCATCTATTGGTCTGCTGTCCAGATTGAGATTCTTTCATCTCTGGGTGTCAGACCTGCATAGTTTGGCAGCGATAGTCCACCTGCACGCACCACTGCAGTCTTAGTCCTCATGGTGCCACTAATTACCTGTGATTTAAACAGTTTACAAAGAAGAAAAGTTGAATTCATTTCTGTTGTTGAACCTGAACTTGGTAAGAGGTCAGTGGCTCTCCTTATGCTGGTTGATTACTCCCCACATATAATGAAAGACTTCTTCTTTTTCACCATTCTGAGCCCTTGAGGTTCATTGCTGCTGATATCACCCGTCTCCGTTCATCTCTCTGATTGGCCCTCTCTTTCCAGTTGGTGACACCAAGTGTTTCAGGTCTGTGGATATTATCTTTCCATCGCCTTCTTGGTCTCTCTCGTGGTCTATGACCATTCATCTCCTTGGTGTCTACAGTTTTTACTTCTCTGTCATCTGACCTTTTTTTCAATATGCCCCAACCATTTTGGTCTATTAGCTCTCATGATGCCAGTGATCAGTGGTGATTTAAACTCTTGTGGTACATAATGGGCTCAAAACCAGTCGTATTCGTACATAATGGGTTTAAAAACCAGTTCTGTCAGATTTGACTGGTTCTATAGTAACTGGAAGCTGACACGTTTTGTATCTTCTTATACAATCTAATATCTGGAATATTCTAAGTGTTTGAATTTGTTTTATATTTCTACCTCCGCACAAAGCTTTTTCAAACATACTACTTAATCATCAATTATAATGAAACATCAGTGTGACTGCACCTGGGATGTTCTTAAGGTTTGTCTCTTCCTGCAGAAAGATGTGAATTTTGATATTTCTACCTCTGTGCCTGCCTTATTTAGACATACTACTAGGCATAAATTATGATGAAACATTAACCTTCCTGAAGTGAGGACAAGCCGTGGCAGATGGGATGTGATTGTGGGAGAGTGAATTGGCTGTTCTAACCATCATTGCCAGAAGTCATTAGAACCACTTCCAAAGTACATTCCTATTCCATCATTCATAACTGCGAAAATTCATCCCACCAACAGAGAAGTTATCATTGTTTAGACAGATATATCAGCCATCTACTGACAGGTATAATTGTTTAGACAGATATATCAGCCATCCACTGACAAGTGTCTTTGTTTAGACAGATATATCAGACATCCACTTTCAGGTATCTTTGTTTAGACAGATATATCAGCCATCCACTGACAGGTATAATTGTTTAGACAGATCAGACACTGACAGGTGTCATTGTTTAGACAGATATCAGCCACATCCTTTGTTTAGACAGATATTCATTGTTTACTGACACATTGTTTAGATATGTCAGCCATCCACTGACAGGTGTCTTTGTTTAGACAGATATATCAGCCATCCACTGACAGGTGTCATTGTTTAGACAGATATGTCAGCCATCCACTGGCAGGTGTCTTTGTTTAGACAGATATATCAGCCATCCACTGACAGGTGTCATTGTTTAGACAGATATATCAGCCATCCACTGACAGGTGTCTTTGTGTAGACAGATATATCAGCCATCCACTGACAGATATAAATTATTGACTTGCAGTATCATGAATCGCTGAGCGGATGATATCTTGCATGGCAGACATTCGGTACCATTTGTCCAAAGAATGGAAACCTAAACATAACTGGATCAGGAAGCTGCAGATCAAAGGCTGCTAAACCATTTATTATTTTATGTATACAGACAACAATGTGTGTCTTTATTGTGTAGTGGTGTATCATTGCATGGCAGACATTCAGGACTGTTTGTTCAAAGAATGGAAACCTAAGCACAACTAACTGGATCAGGAAACTGTA